CATTATAACTACAAACCAAACAGTAATAAAGGTTAACTATTTTAGTTTTTAAAAATAATCTATATTAAATTCTAAAAAGTTATCTGACAAAACATGTTTTTACTACGCTAACTCTAAACGGACTTCAAAAAACGTGGCACAGAATTTTAGCACAAAATTCGGAGCCGTAAATCGCGATTGTCACGTACCTACCTTTAGGTTCTTTAAAGAACCGGCAAAGAACCTTTTAGATTTACAGTGTACCTTTGACAAAAATTTCCATCAAACCTACTTTAATGTGTAATGGCGGAAGAAGAACATCTTTTGAATCCACGAGTGGGTCAGCAATAATATTTTTTTTATCTATGTTGAAATTTCTTGCAGGCCAGTCTTCTTTAATGTGTAAACATCTGTCTCTACTTTCCCACATACACAAAAGGCAGCAGTATTTAGTATACCCTAATTTCATTCCTAAACATATAGCAATGACTTTTAGATAACCACTAACATTCTATTTGTGTTCATTGTAAAGGTGAGTTTTTACTCATCCGATTTTCTATGGGAAAGGGAAAGGGAACGGAAAAATAATCACGTGAGCAAGCACAGTTTTCTTTTGGAAAAATAAAAACTTTTATTACGCATGCTCACGTGATTATTTTTTCCGTTCCGGTAGAAAAACGGATGATTGGAAATTCGCCTTAAATAATTGAGTTGAGGAAAACTTTCATGTTTATATAAGTCTCTTTCATGTGAACTGCATGGTCAATAAAAATAGAAGGAAGACGGTTTCCATAGTAAAGTAATACAGCTTTCAAACTTAGGTAAAAAACTTAAGCCTAGTTTATGAATAACCTCCATTCAGTTGGATTATAGTTCAAATTAAGACAATACATTAATCCAAAGACATTTGTTAACAACAAAATTTTTTTTCTTCTCGGAAAAAAAGCAGATTTCGCTCCGTTTTCTGTTAAACCTTGATATCAAATTGGAGGGGATTTCATTGCTTTAGTCTTAACCCTAGAAGTTCTACCTTTTCCTTTGACAAGTCCAGATCTCGAACAAGATCACTTAATTCTGCTTGACTCAATCTGTATGGCATATCATCTGTTAACACAAAATCAGGATAATTTGATGTAGAAGACTTGTTTTCTTCTTTTTCTTCTATTTCTATTTCATTTCTGCCTTCATTTTCTGCTTCTAACTCATAATTTTGTGGTTGTGTAGGAACTGGTAAACTCTTCGAATGTGGAATATGTCAAAGAAAGATTCGGATATTTAACTGTTCCTATTTTTTTCATTAACAAACCTGCCTTAATGGCTAGGGTCAAGTGGAAATAGCAGTCATTTGTGTGGTTTTTAGGCTCCCTCCATACCATAGCAACAGCGAATGCCAAAGATCTTATTTTATTTTTTAACCATTCTCGTAGTGTAACCGAACAAGAGCTACAGCATATATGTAGAACCCATATATTTTCATATCATATTTTCATATCATATTTTTACATCATATTTTCGCGTCACGGTAAGGAAGGAGGCGTGAACTTCCTGGTTAAATGCACTTCCGCGGTGCTCTGTGACAAGACCGTTAGGTCTTCTTGGGAAACCTAAATAACAAAAAAAAAAAAAAAAGACTTATCCTGGTCTAAAAAAAAACTTATCCTGGTCCTGGTCATATTGAAGTAATACACGTAAACAGTCTTCACATTCTCTCGCCACCGATGTGAATAAAATGCTACATTTTTAACTAACAACTCAAACCTGGTAAAGCATTTAGATAACGGGTTAGAAATACTCAGGTTGTTGATAAAAAAGATGTCAATTTTGATACGCAACATAAACCACAACTTATACATTATAAATCCATAACTTATACACATAAGTTGTGAGTTCAAACATAGAGGTGTAACGCTAAGCCGCAGATTGAAAAAATCCAATCAACTCTTAACGAAATATAATTTAGTATAGCATGCTAAAATGTTTATTTTATCAACTTTTTGCCTCACTTTATGTGTGAGGAGAGCGAACTTTTTGTGGTATTTTTGTTTTCAAGCTCAAATGACCGTCTTTTTATCTAAAACATTCTCATTTAATGTAAGCAGGAGCATATTTAAATTTAGAGTTTGTTCAATATCGGAAACTGTGATATATGAAACTTGAAAAAAATCCTGTCTATGCTACAGTCCTTTTTGAAATCAGTTTTAGTAGTAAATTTTATTACACGCATCATATCAACATTCATTTAGAAGAAACGGATCTGCATACATATCATAAAATTTTTTATCGAGGACTTTCATTAGTGAATGAGGGTGGGGTTGAAAGCTTTTACAAACCTAATGCTGAACCCAGGGCCGTTCCAAACGGGGGTTGTAGGCGGTGTCCCCCCCCCTCCTAAGGGTTACGTATTAGCCAAAAAAAAGGGTACGTACTTTATGGACGACCCGCACGAGTCGTCCATAAAGTACGCACGCTTTTTTTTGTCGAGATAAATTTGTCCTTACGGCCGTAAGGACAAATTGATCTTGCTAATTATTATAATCCTTTAGTTTACATTCAAGCGCATTGTGTCACTACGCCAAAACGTCTCATTCATAAACGCAAAAAAATTAAATAATGAAATACTAAGGAAAATTTAATTGAAATGAAAATGAAACTAAAAACTTTATTGTATTGAACATAAAATTAACAGTAGCTAACAAAGTATAAAATTAACATAAAGTTAACAGTAGCTAAAAAGTGTAAACGACGCTTGAAATTCAAAAACAAGTGTAAGGAAATATATAATACAATATATTGTATTGTATATTGTATACTTGTTTTACGTGTTTACTAGCTTTAGAACTATTTGTAGATATCCATGAAATGTTAAGTTTTTTTTTCATCTTTTTTTTAGTATATATATAATATATGTTCTGTAAAAAGGTATAATGCATTTCATTGAAATTTACAATTAGTACTAATCTAAAAAAACAACAACCTCATTGGTCCTTATCGAAAAGTACTAACGATTTTGTTATAACAATCTAAAAGCAAATTTAATAATAATAATAATAATAATAATAATAATAATAATAATAATAATAATAATAACAATAATAATAATAATAATAATAATAATAATAATAATAATAATAATAATAATAATAATAACAATAATAATAATAATAATAATAATAATAATAATAATAATAATAATAATAATAATAATAATAATAATAATAACAGTTGAAGTAATAAAAAGTAATATGTCTAATACTGATTATAGTAATTATAGTAATTATATTATTAATTATATTTGTAAGTATCATCATGATTAATTCAAATATAGTTATTTTTACTATAATCAGTATTAGATCTACAGTTATTATTGTTAGTGCTTTAATTGTTATTATTGTCTTTATTAAATTTGTTTTTATATTGTTTTAATAAAATTGGTATTACTTTCCGAAAAGTACCAAAAGTTGTTGTTTATAATTTTACAAATAATCATGATATCATGGTTAAATATATAGCTGTAAGTTAGTGCTATATATTTAACGATTAAACTTATAAATAAAATTATATATTTCAATTATCAATAAAATATCAGTTGCAAAGAACGTATTTAAACATTAACAAATTCTATTTAACAGATCCACAATTTTATAGCTACAGTGAGTAAAGTTTATCTCATTTAAAATATTACACATTTTAATCTGAAAACTGCATAACTGGTTTTATTTTAAATGTTTTTTCTGAATGTCCTGAGGTATCACAAAGATAGTTCATTATCATCTTATGGGGAATATTGATAATACAGCACATCATTTTTAATTTTTATTGAATATTCAGAGTTAAAATCAAATTATTGTATGTTGTTCAATTATAAGATTGAAAAATATGTATAGTACAGAGGATTTTTTTGAAAAAATTAATTGAGCTGAAATTCTAATTAACAAGAACAGATAAATGTTATGAAATTTTTACAAACAAGCCATAAAGCATGTAAAAAATATATTACAAAAACAACAAAGAATCTAATATAAAATCAGTATTTCAAATATCGGTTGAATTCAAACAACTAAAATTGAAATATTATGGAGCAAATCAGTATCAGTATAAACAACAGAACTAGTTTATGAAGCAGCAGGTTTACACAAAACATTTAAACTATGAACAAAGATTTAAAGACTTTCTGAAAATAATCTAAAGTTATTTTTAACAATCTTAAATTACTAAAAATCCAAAAATAGAATAACCTCTATATACAATATGGAAGGAAATGTTTTAATAGATGTAGATAATATAGCAAATGTCTTGAACGGTATATTGTTCATAGTGTAATTCATTTTTCTACACATGGAATGTTTTGTATCTTCATTTACAAATACAGAACTAAGCTTAAAATTCCATTTACAAATACAGAACTAAGTTAAAATTCCATATTCTTAAATGAACAATAAATAGCACCCTACTTATTGAATGTTTTAACTAATTGTATTAAAATTAAAAACAAGCCAAAAAACTTGATGTTAACAATGCTAATGGCATTGATGGAATCAAGTTATAAGTATATTATAGCATCATCATATAAGTCATTATCAGGAAAGAAAATTATGAAAATGTTTTTCGAATATTAACCAATATCATGATGTATTAATCATCATTTAGAAATAGTTCATTAAACAAAAATGTGGATTTAATTGAAGTTATTCTAGATGATGTATATTATGTATCAAAATGGATGCCAGTTATCAGTGGTGTGCCTCAGGGCTCTATTAACTTTATTGTTTTATTTTTTACTTTTAATTTTTTTTTCTCTCTATAAATATATTAAGTATTTAATAAAAATGTTAAAAATGATGTCATTATGATCTTGTATGTCATTATTTGTGTATCATTTTGTTAGACAGGCATTCAATTTACTTAGTAAAAATGAAATAAACTTTGTATTATTTTATTATAAAATATTTAATGTAGAAATAAAATTTTGTTTGTATATATATTGATATTTAAATTATCATTATATATATCATAATTTAATCAGTTTTATTGTATTAAAAAAAGCAAAATAATGGAGACATCTATGAGATACACCGAAAACATCAATTTTCCAGCACTTTTTACAAGCATTTTTATTCTGATACTTGTTTGGTTGTATGTTACAATTAAAAAAGTGAGTTTTTTTTTTTAAATCTCAAAATGTTTATATAACAATTTATTTATTTTTCTTGAAAAAATGTTAACCTATTTACGCTTTGTATTAACATGATGCAACATTTACGCAACATTTATGTTTGTGTAAAAAGATTAAGATATTTTCTTCTTTGTTGATCTTTAGTTTGCATAGTTGGCATCATCACAAGAAACCGTAAAATGTGTCCACACCCAACTACATGATTTCATAAGATTCACCTTTTTCAAACCAAGCTGAATACACTTTTTGATATAAATATAAACAACAATCATATAGAAGTATATAGAAAGCAGTACTTATATAAATATAGAAAATTACATTTAAATATGTTAATTGTAAGCAAAACATTTGAATTACACATATTGTTTTTATTTTAGAAACAATATTGTGATATTAAAAGTATAAATACTTATTACTATTAAAATAAATCTTACAAATATTATCTAGGGGTGTTATCAAAAAATATATTAATTTTCTTTAAACCAAATCAACCAAAAATATCTGTAAATAATAAAATTATTTATTGCAAGTTTATAACTAATATAACTATTTCTTAAGATAATGTTAACAGCTTTATTTAACATAATTATGTTTATAATTCATTATAAAAATACTTTAAATAAACTGATCAGCTACAAAGTTCACAAACCAATAAAATAAGAAATGCCAGTTATGCATATAAATAAAGAAATGCCAGTTATGGCTTATAAATTTGATGCCAGTTTATTTAACATTTTACTTGATTGCATAGAAAATTCTATTTTTAAAGACAGAAAGACATCAGCTTAAAAATGTGTATTTATGTATTCATATATGTATGTGTGTATGTATATATGTTTGCATATACGAATGTTAGAGTGACAAAAAAAATCAAAGTTCTCAAAGTTGGATTCTCAACCCTTTATTGCGTTCTTTTAACTAAAAAATAAACAAAATACTATTAGTATATTTTTATATCTAGAAGTTGCTCAATGTACTTGATCCGTCTTCTCCGTTTGAAATTTAATGCCAGCAAACGAAAAAGTGCTGGCAGGATGGTCTTTTTAATGTTTGCCTGCGTGATAAAAATGCATTTTTTTCTGCTATTTAATTAAAATAAAAATAGTGCTAAGAATGCTTCGAATAAATGCTAGATAAAATAATGGAAAAAAAAAACAAAAAAAAAACAAGTAAAAAAAAGCATTTTTCATAAAAGTTGAACAAATGAACAAAAAATTTTTTTTGTTGCAATTTAAAACAAAGTGCTTTTATTTTTTTGGCAAGCGCTTTTTTATGTGCTCACCAAAGTTTTTGTGGGCGTGTAGGCAAGCGTGAAAAGATTTTAGCATGAAAGCGCTGGCTAAACGGAGAAGATTGCTTGAAATAATCAGTGTTAAGGGTCAATGGTAAATAAAAATGAATGTATTTTTTTTTTCTAATACAATGTTTTGATTATTTTATTCAAATTTAGTGTTATTGATATGATTTCAATCAACAAGGCTTTTCAGGATATTTCTGTGGTTTTACACCATATATAACTACATTTTTTTTTGACAAGTATGGCCATGCTTTTTTTGTAGACATATTTTGACAATTTGTGCATTTAAAAATGCTATGAAAAAACCATACAGATTTAACGGTGATAATTAAAAAACAAACAAACCATAAATTGAAAAGAGAAACAAACTTAAGGAATGATAAAATAAATAAAAGATAAATCAGAAAAAATTAAACATGTAAAAGAATAATTTTTTAAATTTAGAAGCGTCTTTATTAATAGTTTAAACATAATTAATTTAATTAAAAGCCTCTTAATATTTACAAGTGAACAATTTTTCCTATATCTCTATGTTAGTGGAGTGCTTATGTTTATTTATTGATACATTAGTGAGGCCTGACTGTTAGTTTGGCATTGGACAAGGTTTATCTCCTAACAACGGATAAATTTTTTTTAATGTTTTTTTTTTGCTTAGTAGACATAGCAAGTCTACTAAGTGGAGCAACATTTGGATAATGAGCATTGATTGACAGTTTGAGCAACCTTTCCAATCTTTATAAGTAACTCTTTTCCAATTTTCTAAACCTCTTTTTCCTAGGCTTTCCTTGCTGTGAGGGAGATAATTTGTATTTTTAGTAAAATATTTTAGAAAAAAGTTAGTAAATTAATAAAATATTTATAAAATATTATGAATACAAATATGACCTTTTTGGCATAAAGAGCGTTTTTGCAATGTTGCAATTAACAAAGTCCAGTGGGAAATGCATTTATATCAAAACTGAATCCTTTGTATACATAGTCTCAAACTAGTATCAACAATGATGACATATAACAAAGAGAGTAAATGTTTGTTTTACAGCAACAAAAACATACTAAACTCTCTGGATTCATTATAATTTTTTTTTCTTGATAGACGATCCATTTAATAATTAATATTTATTTTGGGTGGATTTTTTAAATAATATCTATTTTTATTATTAATAAAAGTAAATGATTTTTAAGTAAAAATGTTATAATAAGTAATTATAAAAGTTTTATACAAATTTTAAAAGTTATACAAGTTTTAATATTTCTTAATATTTCTAAACAAGTCATCATTGCTTTAAGTGCTTTATAAGTAAAACTATTACATATATTATTGCGTTTTAATGACAATTACAATGGAATGTTGTGTGGGTTTCTATAATATTTCTAATAAGAGATAAAATAATAATAATATAATACTGTTTTCTAGATTTCAAAAAATATCAATATTGGACTAAGAAGGAATGCTTAGGATTTTGTTTTCAACACATTCCCAAGCGTACCTATACATGTTATTAGAATCTGAAAAAAAAGCCTTATGTATTTTGAAATTCAATCTAAAACCCTTAGAATCAAGGAGTGAATAAAGACTTTTTTTTATCTCTGCTGTTTATCGGGTAACAGTTTTCTGTCCCAATCTACAGTTAATGGAACTTGTGGTTTGAATTCTAAAATAGTTATTTTTGCAACTTTTTTAGGATTTTCAATATGTGCACATAGTAGTGATTCATATGATAAAGAAAAATGTTTAATACTGGCACCTAACCCTTAACAAATTGCAGACAAAACTAAGGAATCAAAAAGATTAGGATTTTTCAAACCATCAAGAGCTGAACAAAATACTGGAGTAATCACTTGGTTTTTTTCTGTTTCTTTACTCATTTTAAGTTTAAGTTTATTTGCTGATGATTGAATAAAGTCATCTACTTCATTATTAGTACCCCCATCCTGAAGAAACTTAGCAGAAAATAGGTGTTTTTTCAAAAAACAACAAAGTTTGCCATAAAAAACGTAAAAAAAAATGTATGTATGTATGTATGTGTGTTTGTATGTATGTATGGATGGATATATATATATGTATATATATATATATATATATATATATATATATATATATATATATATATATATATATATATATATATGTATATATATATATATATATATATATATATATATATGTATATATATATATATATATGTATATATATATATGTATATATATTTATATATATATATATTTATATATATATTTATATATATATATATATTTATTTATTTATATATATATATATATATATATATATATATATATATATATATATATATATATATATATATATATATATTTATGTATATATATATATAAGTTTTATTTTAGATTTATAACAGGTTGAATAAAGGCAATGAAATGGTACCACTTGTTTCAACAATAAAAAAAGTAAAATGTTTATTTTCTTTCCACAATTAGTAATTGTTTTAAATATATATGTATGGAACTCATTTGGTTTAAAGTATTGGTTGATATTAACATTTTAAGTTTCAATATTGAATTAATATATATTTTTATAAACACACTCAGAATAAAACAAAAAATTTTAGATCAAAACATACTGGATCTTGTAAAGGTATGGTATAATACTAATAAGATATGGTTGTTCATATTTTTCATATTTTTCACAACAATTTACAAAAAATCTATTTATCAAAAGCATAGAACTTAACACCTAGACGCATACACTTAGACATATAGACTTTGACACATTTTTTTTTTCAAACATCTTCGCTTCCAACAAGGCTGCAAGCAACCACTAATTAGTGTTGGAAGTTACTGGAAGAGAAAAGATGAAGATTGTAGAGCAAGATAACGATTGACAGACGACTTTAAAGATTGCAAATTATATGATTCAGGAAAGCAAGATGAAGGAAGCAAATTCCAGAGAACTGATGTTCGAGGGGAAAAACTAGAGGAATAAGAGTTTTTTGGACACTTAGGAACAGTCACAGAAAAAGGATGAGACTTAAATTGAATGATGGATGACTTGAATTGAATGATGGAATGAAAAAGGATGAGACTTGAATGACGAGTAACACTGGAATGAATTTTAGTAGATGGCACAAGAGACGCTAACTCTTTAGAGCAGTGCCCATTATACTCTTTGTAGAATAGAGAAAGAAAAGCAACATTACGACGATGTGACAAAGGTTGAAGGTTATTGTGAAAACAATGTAAACATAGTTAGACCTGCAAGAGCAGGTCCAACTATGTTTCTAATGCGTTTTTGCACCTTGTCTAAAAGAGAAAAGGCATCATTAGAAGATCTGCCCCAGATATGGCAACAGTATTCCATACAAAGCCGGATTTGAGATTTATAGAGATAGAGAATAAAATCCAGAGTAAGAAAGTGTAGAGCTCGATAAAAAGATGCAATTTTAGCAGATGCTAATTTTGCAACGAATTTGATATAAGGTTTCCAAGAAAGATCAGAAGTGAGAGCTAATCCTAGAAGATGAAGGAAAGATGACTCATCGAGTACATTACCGTTCATAAATATAGGAAGGTCTAAATTTTTGCAATAATGATTAGCTGCAAAAAAAGTGAGTTTTATCTGAATTAAAGTTCACCAGCTACTGTAAGCCCCCTGCAAGCAATCAGAGGGAGTTGGCTTCTTATCGTGACAAGAATAAATGGATGTATCATCAGCGAACAATGTCATCTTAGATGTGAGATTATCTGGAAGATTGTTAATGTAAATTAAAAAGAGTATAGGGCCAAGGATTGAACCTTGAGGAACCCCTGAGGTTACAGAATAAGAAGAAGAGTGCTGTCCATCAAGGACAACTTTTATCCTACCATTGGAAAGGAAGGATTCAATAATCTTAAAGATGTTTCCAGATACGCCAAAAGAAGAAAGCTTATGGAGAAGACCAGCGTGCCAAACTTTATCAAACGCTTTAGAAATGTCAAGAGCGATAACCTACATACACATACACTTTGACACATACATTTAGACATACACTTAGACACATATGGTTAGTCCTTGTTTTAAAAGTTAACTACCTAACTTATGAATATTTTTATTAGTATATTCAATGATAAATAAAAATCTTTTATATTCAACTGCATGAAAGATTAAAAATATTTCTTTTTGTTGTATAAAATTTTATTACCTGCATATCAGATTTTTATTACCTGTGTATCAGGTTTTTATTACCTGTGTATCAGGTTTTTATTCAGTTTTAAGATAAAAAAGTATCTTGTACACCAAATAATTATATTTTATTTTTGTGCAAATATAAAACATTTTTATTTTGTTCTTTAGGATAAAAATTTTAGTTTTTAAGTTCTTATTATGTAATGTCAGGAATGATACAACTTTTAAAAATATTTTAAAAATTAATCTGATGTGACAGAAAGTCTTTATAAATTAAATGTTAAAACTAGATTTTCTTGGTATCACAAAAAATGGACATACAGCCTCTTGGTTCTTGACTGATGATTTATGTAATAACAATACTAAAGAAAATCCACTTTCAATAAATCAAAAATTTTATTATTTAAACAATATTTCTTACATTTATTTTAAAATTTTAGGATTCATATTAATAATAAAAAGTAATTTATTTTTTATGTTTGAGCATTTTTTAGATTATTCCTCCTCATATCAATAGTGGATGGCAGGTATGCAGTGTTTCTAATTCGATACCTATATGGAAATATGATGTTACTTTCACATTTGCTCCAAAAAACCTTTACTGCTGTCGTATATTGCTTCAAAAAAATTCTCAAGTAATTATTATTTTAAATGCATATAATTAATTTATTAAACAAATAAAAATTAATTTTGAAATAAAAAATAATAAAATGGCCATTAGGTTGTCTCAAAAATATATCATACATTGGATTTAAATATGCAAAATACTGCATTTAACATGAATTTCTCCATAAACACAAAGAAACAAAAGTCTCTAGCTCAAGCGGAAAGTTAATTTCAATTTTTTCTTTATAAATAAGTTCATCATTCAAATCACAATTATTACTAAAACAAAACAAAAAAGTTAATGTTGATGTCAAACAATTAAATTTGTTTGTTGTAAAATCTTGAATTTTGTTGCAAAATAAATAATCGGTTAGAGATTAATTTGTTTTTGAATGCAACAAAATAAATATTTTAGCAAATAATTTTAAAAATGTCAAAGTTTTTACGACAAAACAATTTAACTTGTCACCAGGTCACCAATTCACTTATTCTCAATTTTGCAGCACAGCTGTTATTTAAAATAATAAAAATAAATACTTTCACATGCTTTAAGTAATTAATCAATTAGTTTAGACAATTTATTATAAATTTATGTATTTGTAGTTTAGGTAGTTCAGAGGAAGCGACAAAAGATTTCAAAGAATGCTACAAAGAAAGATCTTAAAATTATTTAGTTTAATTTTACTTGTATTAACATAAATTATAATATCATAAAATTGCTAGAAAATACTACCTATACATCAACAACTATTATTATTAATAAAAACTAAATATCCCATTTTTAGTTGTTATTAATTATTGTTTAAAATTCAACTATATTAAATTAGTTACTAAAAAATGCCATTTATATCCCGTGTTGTATAATAAAATACCTGGAGAGTATCCTTAAGCCTGTCTTTATTGTGTGCTCTTTTAATGAAATCTTGAATTAACTTGATGTGGCATTCTGCACGATCATTCATAACTGCAAGTGTTCCTATACTTGTGTAAGAACACTTGCAGAAAAAATAGAACAAAACAGGGTTAAGGTTTTCACTAGCTTCGATGTCTTTTTCTTTCCAAAGCAGTAATTCCTTCTTTTTAACCAGATAAATCAACTCCATGATATCATAAAAAACTAGCTTGTTTAACATGTCACGGCTGTTTCACTCTATGTAAAAGCGAGCGTGACGTCATGAGTTTATCAAAAAAAAAAGTATTTCCGCATAAAAAAATATAAAAATTTACTAAATTTAAAATAAAAGTATTTTTTTTCTATAAATGCTTTCATTTTCAAATAAAAAAAACATAAAAAATCTATCTTTTTTTATTTAATAAATATTTACATTAAACGGGCTATAATAAAATATTGTTAAGATATTGCTAATGATTTGGGATCACTTTTCTGTTTTTTGTGATTTTTACGGAAAACCTGTCTTGGGTCAACTAAGATTTCCTAACATAGCTACATGCTTAATGGTTGAAATTTGGAACATATATAAATAAATGTCTATTCTATCTAATTTTTGTTGCGGATTGCTTATTTATTTTTTTTTAATTATTTTTTAATGCATTTATATTTTTATTTTTATTATTAAATAATGAAAATCGTATTATTTTTGTTATCCGCACCAAAATATTGAAATTTCAACCCTTTCTGCATATGAAAATCAAAAAATTGTTTTCTGTACCTCCAGCTATGTTAAGACATATGTTTTCAAACTTGGCTAGTTTAGAAACAAATTTTTCTAATTTTTTTCGCAAAATATTGTTTACATTTTAAAGCAATCACGTGGCCTTTAATACTGTACGTCCCAACCCAATATGTAATGAATTTTATGAAAACAATTTTCTTAGCGAGACAAATTTTGATGTATAAAATAAACAAAGTTTGGCGAATTTTCTTTCTCGTGAGTAATCAACAAACATCAGATAAGTTTTTTAATCTTATTATATCTTGTTCATCTATTTGTCAATAAATGTTATTTTGTTTGCATTGTTTGTGTTATATTTTTATTACAAGATTTATTTATCATTATGTATTCTACTGAAAGGAAACTATTAATAGAATGGATTGAATGGGACGATAGTTGGGAAAATGAGTGTAACTTTCCATTTGTCAAGCGATTAATTAGCATCGATAAAATGACTAACAATGTAATTTTATTTTTAATGTCAGTTTTTAAGTCAAAAGCATTGTTTAGTTTAATGAGCTTTATATTGCCAATTGATTTTAATTTTCCTAGTTTTGATGAGTTTGATAATATGTGCCAAAATTTAATACGCAAAAAAAAACTTTTTAAAAACAATTATAAAGCTTCAAAAAACGAAGCCTTTTTAAAAATGCAACTGTCTCCTGCTCTACAAATAAAAAAAAAAAAAAATCAGCAGATGCAGATGAATTTTCATTTCTAAATAGGAATAAGGAACTAAGTAGTCAAGTTGACCTATTAACTTCTGAAAATATAGCAAATGTAGAGCAAATAGAGAAATTAAAACTGAAGTTATTAAAGTTGGAAGCTAAAATTTGTAATTTAAATTCTAAAAATGAGGCTCTTAGTACACATTGTAACTCATTATGTTCTCAAGTAGAGGCTATGAGTATTAGGCTAAAACAGGAGGAGACGTTCCAACTTATTTAAAAAAAAAATTAAAACAGCGCAGCATAAATTTGCATCTGCTCGTGCCAAAAATGTAAGATTGCTAAAAAAAATTAAATTTGAAAAAAACAATGCAAAAATCAGTGATTTAAACCCAAATTGTTGTCAAATTTGCAAATGTCTTCTAAGCGGTGATAAGGTGATTTAGTTGTTGTTGATTCTTATTTAGACTATGATAACATTGGTTCCTCTGAATTGTTCTGTGGATTTAAATTAAGTAATCCACAAACTATATCAGTTAAAAGGCCAATAGTTGGTAAAAAATATATTTACATTAAGTTAGGACATGGCAAACCTTATTCTAAGTTAGGTAGGCATGCTGCAGCTAGACGATCTAAACTTGCTTTTATATTCCTTCGATTATTAGCTTGTTCAGATTTAGAAAGTGATTTGTCTATGTTGTTTTGTGATTCTGTGTCTTGTGATAAGTCTATGTTTTGTTGTGTTGCAAATAAGTTAGGTTTAGTTGGGCAGTTAATTGTTTCTGATGCTGTAGAGCTGCAGAGCCAATTAAGGATGCCCACGGCTGAATTCCGTAGACTAAGACGTATTCTGTGTAATCTTGGTGCAAGGATTCTTCCATCTGAGCCCAAGATAAGACAAGAACAAGAAATGCGGACAATGCATGTCAATAAAGAACATGTTACTGTGAAGTCCATGTTACTTTATCCATGCGAATGAAGCACCTTGTTTAGTATCTGTACTGATGGTCAAGAATTTGACAACTTATATTGAAGAGGTTTTTAATGATCTTCATGTACGCGACCACCTTAATTCGGATGTTGGCTTTGGTGAAGAGGTATGGCTCTTTTTTGCTGGGGATAAGGGTGGAAAGTATATGAAATTCCATTTTGAAGTTGTCAATTCTAAATCATCAGGGTCTGTATATGATGTTCATTTGTTTTGTATGTATCAGGGTTCAGATTGTCGTGAGAATATTGCCTTAATTCTCGGGCATTATGCCAACTACATTAAAAGAATTCAGTCGTCAGATTTTAAGCTAAAATGCAAAATAGTCAGGTTGTTCTTAGGTGGAGATTTTCATTTCATCGATGATGTTCTGGGACACCAGGGTTCAGCTGCTAGTTTTCCTAGTTCTACAGATCTAGTTGAATTGAGTTCTCTTAGAAACCATGCTTCTATGCCTCACACACCTGCTAATTGTAACATCTTAAGGAGAACAATACAATCTCTGGAAAGTGCTTACAATGAGAACTTGTGTGAAGATAGACATGGTGGAAACTTAAGAGCTCTAGGTAAATTTCATAAATCAATTATTGCTACTGTAATTTTCCCCATAATAACTTTAGATAATGTAGTGCCACCTGTTTTGCATATTATGTTAGGAGTTGTGTTAAAACTGTATAAGTTATTGTTGAAGGAGTGTAGGACTTTAGATTGTCAAGCTGATTCGTCTTTGTTGCATAATGAGATTGTGAGAACGAATGAATTGTGGGCTGCTAAAAGCATTGAATGTTCTAAAACAGCAGAAACTTTGCGTTTGTTAGGAAATCAATTTGTAGACGTTGCAAATCTACAGGCGCGATGGTTAGCTTTTGAAAACAATTTTTCTAAATTAGATAGCATATCCCTAAACTCCTCCAAAAAAAAAACCCCCTGTAAACAGCAAGAAATGTGTGCTAGTATCAGGTGTTTAATTACAAAATATGATTGTAAAAGTGATTGGGTGCAGTGTGTTACGTGCCAAAAATGGTTTCATCAATTTTGTGAAATTATTGGTGATTCAGAAAAGAGTGTATTGTGTGACATAGCGATGTACGAGTGTTTAGCATGTCAGGGTGAAAATATAGAATGTCTTGACCATTATATTTCTAAAAAAATTTCTTTTATACGTGCACAATGCGAAGTTTTAGATGTTGAATATATTAAATTGCAGATGGAGTGTGAAGACCTAGAAAAAAAATCCAAAAGTAGCATGGGGACTCATGAGAGGTCTCTTAATAAGGCCCTTGAAGATATGAAGGTTGAGCGGCAAGCGTATCATGGTAATGTGTTTGTAGGTAATCATTGCAAAATAGTCTTAAGAAACCACTATAAACTTTGTAGTGTTATTGATGATAAAGCTAATAAAAGTAGATTTGTACGTGTGTTTAGTGTTTTTAATAAGTTGCAACCTATTCTTTTTAAGTGAAAATTCCTTTCTGATGCCGAAATTACTGAGCTTCATCAGTATATAAATTTATTTGCTATCGAGTTTCATGCTTGCTTTCCAAAAGAAAGTATCACGCGAAATATGCATGAACTTGTTTTTAATGTGCCACTATTTGTAAATTTGCATAAAACTATTGGGTTGCTGAGTGAAGAGGAGGGAGAGTGTTTGCATAATAGTGTAAATAAGGAATTAAGACAGTTGCATTCAGTTAGAAATC